GAACTTTTTATTTATTTGCACAAAGAAGCTGAAAGAAGCTGAAGCAGAACAAAATGTGAAAGGAGCAGTAGAAGGTTGTAAACACATCTAAAGGTTTGAAGGATGGAAAATGAGCTCAATTCATTTTCTGTGAGACAAAAAATGTCAGAAAAGGCTAAATATTTCAAAAAGCTAAAGCTGCACCAATACCAAAAGTCATAGCTGGATTGTCCTGAAAGAGCTGAACGTTGTGATTTATGATTTGTTGAAATAGCTGAAAACTGAGGGACGAGAAAGATGCTGAAAAAGGTACAATAGAGTGAGAGCTTCGTAAACACTCACACAAATATTAGTATGCCAAAAAGCTGTACGTAATAAGCATAGTGCCACTGAGCCTGTTGACCATGACACTAACCTGTTCAATAAAGGTTGGATGAATCGATCGTACCTTTGGGAGTAGATTAGCATCTTGACTGTTGGACGTTTTCCTCGTGTTTTTCTAAGTAAAACATTAAATGAGGCTTTTTTAATGATCAGGGAATCCATCTGGCTGATGCTTGGAGTATTTGGGGGTATTCTAACAAAAACGTTCAGAATTGTCCCATTTTTCTTGTGATCCAGTGTTTGATTTTGTCTTAAGAGTCGAGACTGACTCGTCAAACTCTACTGCAGACTCTCACTTATCCAGCTGAGAACAATTATGGATTTAGTCTGAGAAAAGTAGGTTTAAAGCACCAAAGTGACGGTCTTTGACTCCACGGGTGTCTCAGCAGCAGCATCACTGGGCCGTGTAAAGTTTCACCTGTCTGCCTTTCAGACCTACATCTGAATCGCTGGAGAAGAATAGGCCTATAGTGTCCTCTTCTTTTCCTGTTCCTCCCTTCCTCCTCCCCAATTCTTTCTCCTCTTCTTTTTTTCTTCCTAATCTCTTCTCAGGTTTAGGATTCCCGGACCGGGCTCTTTGAGGAGCAGGAAATATGGGGTTAGGTAAACATCAGGGCTCTCACTGCAGGGATTACAACAACCATACATCACAGTGACAAGTCTCTTTTCAACAGATGACAAGTCACCAAGACTGTGTGTGAAGGGATCCTATGACACTTCCTAACACAGCGGCAGCCATTGATAGAACACACCATCTGCGTTTTCACAACATCATGTCAGTTGATGAGGATCTGGTGTCTTGAGTACTCTCAGCCAACATCTTTGGACTTTTGCACGTTGCCGCGCTTGATGTTTGGCTTGTGGGCATTTTCAGAGAGGTAACAACAAACGGAAAATGACTCTAACGAAGAGATTAGATCACAGGTCCTTTGAGAGACACGGCTGTTCATTGCCCATGACTTCATGTCACTTTCTCCTCTTGACAAGATCTCCACTAGTGAAAGAAAACCTCAAGGCATCAGGAAGACGTCAGCAGCTTCATCTTTTAGGAAACACAAAGAAAGGAAATTGTTTTCTAAATTTTAAATATCTAAACGACCAGCAAGTCAAGAAGACTATGAACCAACATTGAACTCCCGTCTGTTGCTCACTGGGTTGAAATGATTTAAAACCCGTAAAAAGGCCCATAATGGGCCTGCTGGTCGTTTATGATGGGTTTTTAACACATTTATAAATGTTGACTCAAGGTTGGATTTCAAAATGACATTCAGTAAACAAGTGTTGGAGGGAAACTTTACTCTTAATTCAGCTTTATTCTGAGGAAGTGGAGCAGAGCTCAGGATTGTACTGATGTTCTTGTAACTTTAGACAGTATACAGGTGCATCTCAAAAAAATTGAATATTGTGAAAAATTAAATTTTTTGTTGACCATTTCAGAAATAAAACATAAATTATTATTATTCATTACACAAAAAGTGAACTATTCCAAGCCTTTATTTTAGTCATGGAGTTCCTCAAGGTTCAGTGCTTGGACCAGTACTCTTGACGTTATATATACTGCCATTAGGTAAAGTTATTAAGCAGCATGGGAAACATTTTCATTGTTATGCTGATGATACACAGTTTTATTTGTCCATAAAACCCAATGAATCCAATCAGCTACTTAGACTACAAGCATGTCTTAAAGACATAAAAACCTGGATGACCCTTAATTTTCTGCTTTGAACACAGACAAGACTGAGGTTTGGGTGTTTTGAGCATCTTTGGAATAAAATTAATTAAAAATCTTGGTGTTGTTTTTGATCAGGACATGTCTTTTATCCCCCACATTAAAAACGTTACTAGAACCTCCTTCTTCCACCTGCGTAATATCACTAACATTAGAAACATCTGATCTAAAGATGATGCAGAAGAACTGGTCCATGCATTTGTCACGTCTAGACTGGACTATTGCAATGGTTTATTATCTGGGTGTCCAAATAATTCTTTAAAACGTCTTCAGTTGATCCAAAATGCTGCTGCCAGAGTCTTAACTGGAGTTACTGGGAGAGATCATCTCTCTCCAGTTTTAGCTTCTCTCCATTGGCTCCCTGTCAAATCCAGAATAGAATTCAAAATCTTACTTCTAACCTACAAAGCTCTCAACAACCTAGCTCCATCTTATATTACAGATCTTATTGTTCCATATTTTCCTAACAGAGCACTTCTCTCTCAGACTGCAGGTTTACTTGTGGTTCCTAGAGTTTCCAGCAGCAGAATGGGAGGAAGATCTTTCAGTTCTCAGGCTCCTCTCTTGTGGAATCAACTTCCAGTTTCTGTCCATGAGGCTGACACATTGTCCAGTTTGAAGACTGGGATTAAGACTTTCCTTTTTGATAAATCCTATAGTTAGGGTTGGCTTGTTATGCTGCTATAGACTTAGATTACTAGAGGACAAACTGACCTCATGTCCTTAAATGAATTGTTAAAATTGAATAGTTTTCATTTGATACTATTTCTATCTTAACATGTGATTCTTGAGCTGCCATTGTGTATCTGTTCCTACCAAACCCAGCCGGTCGAAGCAGATGGTCCTCTTGTCCTGATCCTGGTTCTGCTAAAGGTTTCTTCCTCATGAGGGAGTTTTTCTTTCCACTGTCGCCTTCATGCTTGTTCAAGATGAGAGTTCAGTGATGGAGTTAAACTCAAAGCTGCTCCTCAGATAAATAATGTTAAATTATTATTTTATACATGAATGTTTCTGTTAATTATTATTTTATAGATGAATGTTTCTGTTAAATTATTATTTTATAGATGAATGTTTCTGTTAATTATTATTTTAT